CCGCGCCCGCCAATGCGGCGGGGGCGGCTGGCAGCGAGGTGCAGCCAAAGGCGTGCGCGGCGGCCGCGCGCCCCGACCGGCGTTGCAGAGTCCCGAAGTCGGAGCTTGCCACTTTCAGGAACCATCATGAGGATGTCGCACAGCTGCGCATGCGCGTGACGTACCTGACCGGCCAGCTTGAGCGGCAGTCAGGGAAGGGGGCGCCGCTGGCCCTGGCGCGCAGCCAGCTGGCGGCGGCCCAGAAGCTGGTGGGGGAGCTGCGCAGCCAGCTCGCCGCGGCCGCGGATCGGCTGGCGGAGCGGGAGGCGGCGGCGGCGGCGGCGCGCGCCGGCCAGCAGCAGGCCGAGGCGGAGCGCCTGCAGCACGCGGCGCAGCTGGAGAGCGCGCGGCTGGGCGTGAAGAGGTTTGAGGAGAGGGTGGCCACTATGGAGGGCGGCCTTGTTGTGGTGAGGGAGCGCGTGGCGCAGCTGCAGCAGGCAGAGGCGCTGGCGCGCAAGGGGCAGCGGGCGGCAGAGGAGGGCAGGCAGCAAGCGCAGGCCGCAGCCGAGGCGGCCTCGGTGCGAGCATCCGGCCTGGCGGCGCAGCAGCAGGAGGCACATGCGGCCCAGCTGCGACGCTTGGAGCAAGCGGCAGAGGCCGGGCGGATGGCGGCACACGCGGCCGGTGCAGAGCTGGCTGAGCGGCTGAAGCAGCTTCAGCAGCAGCTGGACGCAGAGCGGGCAGAGAGGCGGGCAGGCGAAAGGGCGTCGGCCGCCTCGATTGCAGCGGCTCAGGAGGACATGCGGCTGCAGCAGCTGGAGACCGCCCGCCTGCGGCAGGAGCTGCGGGGCGAGAGGGTCAAGGGGCGGGCCGCGGCAGCCACAGCGATCGCTGAGAAAGAGGCAGCTCAGCAGGAGATTGCCCACCTGAAGGCACAGCTGGCGGCAGCGCTTGAGACAGCGCAGCGGCAGGGGATAGAGCAGCTGGCTTCGGAACCGAGCGCTGCGGACTCGCCCCCGCAGCCCGCGACGCCCGCCTCCACGTCTGGGGCCGGGGCCGCGCGCCTGCTGAGGCACAGCAGCAGCGGCGCCAGCAGCGGCAGCAGCCGGGCCGGCAGCTTCATCCTGCGGCGCCTACAGGCGGACGACGCGTCACCAGTGCGCACGCCCCAGCGCTTTGACAGCCTCGGCGCGCGTGACACCAGCGCCGGCGACGATGCGCAACAGAGCGAGGCGCCTGTGGCGGGCCACAGCAGCGCTGCGAGCTACGGTGGCGCATGGTTTCGGGCGGGGGAGGCGGCCGCCGCGGTTGTCGGGGCGGTTGCGGGGACGGTCGCGGGGACGGTGGTTGTCAGCCTTGGAGTGGCGATCGGCCTTGTGCAGTGCTGCCGCAGGCAGGGGTGATACCAAGATGATACCACACATACTGGGACTTGGGTCGAGGCTTCTTTGAAGCGTGTTTGTGCACGCCTGTGTCTCCGAGCTACATGATGCCTGCAGTGGGAGGGTGGATGCGCGAATGAGCGCGCGGCTGCTAAGGTTGCGGCACAGCTTCAAAGCGAGGGCGACTCTTACTTGCCAGCAGTGCCTGTCATGGTCATGCTGGTGTGCTCTTTGCCCCAACCGCCACGTTCCTTTCCGTGCTTGGTTGCGGTTCAAGCCGCAAAGAAATGCCTTGTTCCGGCGGGTTCCGCCTGCCTGCGGCGCGCTTTGCGCGGAGTGCGCACAGCTGGTGGTGAGCGCGCCCATTACGCCGGCAGCCCTGTAAAACTGCATCACCAACACGCAGCTGCCCTCCCACCCATGTTGCCCCCGTCATACAAGGGGCCTTGGGTGCATCGGCCGCGGCTGTTGGAAAACAGCGGACTCTGGGCTGGGGAGGGGGACGGTGTCTGAGGGCTTTTCGTTGGCCATGTACACTGCGTGGCCTTGCTTGTTTGTGTATCACTTGTGCTACAGTACACCGGTGTGGCTGGGCACTTCATTCTAGATTTTTTCTTCTCACTGACTCATAAACTGAACTGATTTGTAACCAGAAATTACAGATTTTATATGGTCCAGGCCGCAGCTATTTGAACCACAAGGGGCTTTTGATTCGTCACGACGGCTTACCAGTTGTTCCAGGCAGTCCTGGTTGGACTTTTCCGCCACGTCTTTCTGGGCATTGATGCAGCACGAGAGGGAGTATCAAGTGCTCTCCGAGGCGATCAGGATTGTGCTAGTGCAGCATCTTCAAAGAGTCCTAAATCACTCCTGCCCACCGTGCGGGCATCAGCTCGGCTGTCATGGTGCGTTGCCAACCGAAGGCTCGGGCAGGCGCAAATACCATAGGTGCTCCCCGCATACATGTCAACGCTGCGATGCACCACAGCAGGTCAGATTATGGGCCTGCAGGTATGCTCAGTCAGGGGTGATGAGCGCCGTTGCTCGCGAGTGCCACCACGGCCCCCTTGTTGCCCGTTGCCACTGAGGCAAGCACCCCCAGACCCATAGACCAGCCCCTGCGCCCCCCTCCGGGTGACATCTAGGTCAAACGTGCCTGGCTTGCTGCACCTGCGCTCGCTCCCGACCTTTATTCCCTTGAGCCGGGACAGTGGTTCCTGCGCACATGCATCGCTGCGTCGCCAGTCCGCGTCACCCGCAAGACAGCACTGCAATCTGGGGCCCCGTCGTGCCGCAACCTCAGGTACTGACGCCACGGCTAGAATCACAACAACATTTTTGTAATGCACCATGTCACGTTGGCCTGTGCGGTTTGCATAAATCGTTGGGAGCCACGACCGAAATGAGCGTTCGATTGATACTATGACCGCACGTTATGTGGCACCGTTTGTATTCGTGTGACCCCTCCTGCTGATCTCGGGCGGCGGGCCTGCCTCGCGCGTGGCGGCGCCAGCGGCGCAACCGCTGCGTCCTCCGCTGGTCTACAAGGGGCGCATCCGCACCTGCCCCGCTCTCGCGCCATGGCGGCGTCATGGTTGCAGCAGCAGCTCCAGCAGCAGCTCAAGGCGGCCGAGGGCCTGTTGGACGCGGTGGACCGCACAGTGTCAGCGGTCGGCCTGGCCGGCGGCGACGCCGCCCCGCCGCACGCCAGCGCATCAGGTGTGCGTTCGCGCGGCAGTCGGATGCATGCTGCAGAGACATGCCACAGGCCGCAACCATAACGCTCGCTGGTACATGACGTGAGCACGATGGCGAACGCAACTCCTGCGGCCGTCCCAACTCACAAAACTGCGCATGGTGAATTGCGCACCAGGCACCCCCCAAAGCTCGCCCGGCCGCTCGCCGTCGGCGGCGGGCCGCGCACGGCCGCTTTCACGCAGTTTGAAGGTAGGGAATGGCGTGCGCGGCAGGATACCGCACACATGTCGCTACCGTCAGCCGTCCAGCGTGCTTGGGTGTGTGCGCCGTGAAGGATGCGTGGCACACCGCACAGAGACCCCACCAATAGCCTGTTTCGCCCCCGCACGCTTGCGCAGGCACCTGCCGCGCCCGTGGAGGAGGCCGCACATCCCGTCGATTTGTGCGTGTCACCTGCGCCCAGCAACAGCAGCAGCTGCGCCTGCGATGGCGTTCGCCCGGGTCACAGCCCAATCAACGCGCCCAGCAAGGCCGGGCCCCAGGCCTCCCCTCTCCCGCTGCAACGGCAGCCCTCCCCATTCGCGCCATCGACTGCGGCGGCACCTTTCCAGCAGCAGCAGCAGCAGCGAGCGCGGCGCCCAGGGGGCTCGGCTCCGTTGCACATGGCTAGCAGCGCTCTTGCAACCGCGGCGGCTGCCAGCTCGACTCCATCTTTTGGGCCACCCTCACGCCGCGTATGCCATCTTACTGCAGAAGCAGCAGAGCTATGCAGCACCGCGACGGCAGCTGCCCAGCAGGCGCCACCGGTACCACACGAAACCGGGCAGGCGGGCGGGACGGCCGCGGTGGCGGCGGCCGCGGGGGGTGGGGGTAAGGGGACCGCAGGGGTGCAAGCGGAGGGCAATACGCAGCTGGCCGGCTTGGAGGGCAAAGTGCAGGCCCCTGCTCCGCATGGGGAGTGTGCCGCGGCCGCGGGGGTGCCAAGGGCGGTCGCGGATGGCCTGCAGTGGCGGCTGGACGGTTTAAATTCAGAGAACCGACAGCTGGAGGACCTCCTCCGCGCCGCCGAAGCGCTCGCCGCGCGCGAGGCCGCGGCGCGCGGCGAGGCCGCCGCCGCAGGTATGGCGGCGGCCTCGGCGGCGGCGGGTGCCGAGGCGCGGGCTTCGGCGGCGGCGGCGGAGTTGGGGGTCGAGCGGGCGCGGGCGGGGGAGCTGTCTCGGGAGCTGGACGCTTTGAGGCAGGCCCACGCGGAGGCGGCCAAAGGCCGGAGGGCGGCGGAAGGCGACGCTTTGGAAGGTGCGTGCTGGTGGCTGCCTTCTCCCGATCGGCGATGGCCCTCCCTCCAGAGGCCGACTGGCGCCCCGTCACGTTCCAGGTGCCCCGACACGACTGCCTCGCTCCCCATGTGTCGCGTCCTCACGCCGCCGCTCGCCTGCCCCTTGCCAATCTCTGGTTTTGTGCCATGGCGCAGCGCTGCGCGGAGAGATAGACGCTGCTGAGTCGCGCCTGGACGCGGAGCGGCGCGCGGGCGCCGCCGCCAAGGCCGTTGCCGCCGCGCGCGAGCGGGAGCTGGAGGGTCAGCTTCACGCCGGCGCCGCGGCGCTGGCGGCGGCGCGGCGCGCGGCGGACGGTGAGGCGGCGCGGCGGCGGGGGGAGGGGGAGCGGTTGGCGGCGGCGGAGGCGGAGGCGGCGCGACTGCGACGGGAGCTCGACGCCGCGTCGGCGGCCGCCGCTGCGCTCGCCGCCACTGGCTGCGGCGG